GCCTGGCCATAGTCATGGTTTCATTCTCTCAGGCTCTCCTCCTTGCCTGTATCATTAGTCAGTGTGTATCTGCTATGAGCCAAACATGCCGGGAACATGAGGACTCAACGGCAGCCTGTGTCATTATAGAGTTGAAGACCTTGTCTCAACCCACGTGCCAGAAGGCCAGTCAGAGGCCCCAGAGCAAGAGTTGATGGATTTTTGCCTAGAACAGAAACCAAAGGGCTGGGGGTGTAGCCCAGCTGGTAGAACGTTTGTCTAGGATACCCAAAGCCCTGGGTTGGTTTGAGCCTCAGCATGGTATATACTGGGCGTGGTGGTCCACATCTGTAATTGTAACACTCGGAAGATGGAGGCAGGGGGAGCAGAAGTTCAAGGTGATCCTTCACTACGTGAGTTTGAGGCCAGCCTGGGATATGGAAAAATGTCTCAATCAGTATTCTTAAAAGATTTATTTGTGTTATTTTTAATTACGTGTCGGTATGCATGTCTGCCTGTGGGTCTGAATATGTGAGTGCAGGTGCATCTGGAAGCCAGAGGTATTGGGTTCCCAGCAGCTGGAGTTACAGATGGTTTTAAGATGGCTGACATGGGTGCTAAACACCGAACTCTGATCCTCTGCAAGAGCAGCAAGTGTTCTTAACCACTGAGTCATCCTCCCAGCCCCAGCCAGCATTTTTAAAATGACAAAAATTTGAAAGGAAGAAATACAGCAAAGTTGAAATCTCCCCTCCATGATAACTTTTTTATTTTAATTTTTAGATTTATTTTTATCTTATGTATATGAGTGTTTTGCCTTTCTCTCTCTCTCTCTCTCTCTCTCTCTCTCTCTCTCTCTCTCTCTCTCTCTCTGTGTGTGTATGTGTGTACCATATGTATGCCTGGTACCTATGGAATCCAGAAAAGGGCATCAGATCCCCTAGAACTGCAGTTATGGATGGCTGTGAACCACCAGGTCAGTGCTGGGAACCAAACCTGGGTTCTCTGCAAGCGCATTAAGTGCTCCTAACCACTGAGCCATCTCTCCAGCCCCACCCTGGATGATAACTATCTTATGGCTTTTCCTTGGGCAGAAAACGAAGTCCGCAGCTTTGCAGGGAGTGGGTTCCATTGGCCATGAGAACCAAAGGTCCTGGGCAGAGCCGCTTTTAGGGAAACCAGTCACAGAAGAGAGGCGATCCGAGGGACAGAGATCGACCCCTGGCCTGCGGGGACCTGGATAGGGCGAGCAGGCTTCCTCCATCCCTTACCTGTCATTTACAAAGGAGAACATGAGCAGTCGCTGCTCGATGAACCATTTCCACTCTGGGTTCTCATTCTGCAGGTCCCGGTAGTTGTCGTTGGAGACGATGATGCCGTCCTTCTCGAAGGCCACCTTCACGATGTAGCGGTCGTCGTAGCAGACCACTCGCTTGCCGTTGACCTTGCGGGATGGGGTGTAGACCAACACAGCCTGCCGCTCCAGCTCCTCCAGCACGTGCTGCTCTGAGGCCACAGGCAGAGAGGCTTGAGTCAGGGCTCCCAGAGAAGGGCCCCCGCCACCCAACCCAGGAACCCCTCCTAACGCATCTGCCTCCAAACCAGCCGCCAGTAAGACCTGGGCAGGTTCGAAGGGACTATTTATTGATCAGACAGTTTCTTACTGTAAAGTGTAAACTGGCCTCAACTTCACAACTTCCCCCCTTCTGCTTCCGGCGTGTGGGGATTACCACCTGTGCCACCAAGGCTGCTTTACTCTTTACTGCCTACGATCTCAGCCTTGCGAGGTAGAAGCAGAAGGAACAGGCGTCCAGGGAGCCCCTGCCCCAACAACACAAAACCGCAAAAGTGCATAGTACACCTAAGGTACTTGCAATAAAAAGCGCCGTGAACTTTGAGAATGGGGTGCATCGTGCCCGGAAAGTCCCTGCTGCCCATCCCAGTCCAAAAGCCTCACTTCCCCGTAAGATAACCTGTTATAAAACAGTGTTGACCGTCCCCCCCCCCCCCCGCCCCCCGCTTGCTTTTATTTTCACAGGTACACATGCGAGGATCATTTTCAGTGTGGCTCTCTGCCTCGGACTTTACCCAGCGAACAGTCCCTACCCATAGTCACATCCCGGTTTCTTTGTTCAGTTACCATACGGCGACATGGTCCGGCCGTGCCCACGTGTTTGCTACTGTCCCCAAGTGAGTCTCTGGCATGGACGTCCAGGGAACCCCCTGGGGTAGTAGATCGATCTCTAAAACAGTTTTTAGCCCACCAAGCATAGCATGGTCCCTTACAGGGTTTTATTTTGCGTTTATTTCTGGTTACTGATGGATTTGCACATCTTTGCCTACTTTTACTGCCCATTTATAGTTTTCTTCTGTAACAGGCTTATTTATGAAATAGCCCGTCTTTCTGTGGGTTCTTGTCCTTGCTCCATTAATTTGGAGATGAACCCCTTCAGCAGAAAATTTAAGGTATAGTGCTAGGGATGTGACTGGGTTGTCCAAGTGCCTCCCTCTTATGCATGAAGCCTGGGGTTCAACCCCATGACCACATAAAATGGGCCAGGGTGGCCTGTGCCTGTTGGTCACCCCCACACTCAGCAATGGAAGCAGAAGCAGGCGGGTCAGACGTTGAAGAAGGTAGAGTCTGCTGCTGCCGTCTAGACTTCTCTCTCTCTCTCTCTCTCTCTCTCTCTCTCTCTCTCTCTCTCTCTCTCCCTCCCTCCCTCTCTCTCTCATCTGTTTGTCTGTGGCACTGCCATCTGCTTCTGAGCCAAAGTTCTCAAAGTGCCTGATTCCATTCTTTTTTTCTGCACAGGACTGCCCCTTTGTGGTTTATTTTAAAATCCCTAGCCAAGTATGTTGGCACACATGGCACTTGGGAGACTGAGGCAGAAGAATCGCCACAGCTTTAGGCTATAAAGTAAGTTCCTGGACAGCTAGGGCTACATAGCAAGATGCTGTCATAAATAAATGAATGAATATATAGAGGTCAGAGGGCAAATTTTGAATGAATTTTGACATGAATCCTGTAGAGACAGTGGTAAAGCAATACCAAAGGCTACACATTCACATTGGAAGTGGTTTGGCGGTGGCAGCCAGACCCCAGAGGTTGACAGATTTGAGGAAGACAGAAATCAGAAGAAACCATACTGATTCTAAAATGTGGAGGGAGCCACAGCCCAGCAAATGCCTGCGAGGCTGAGCAGAGGTGGGAACAGTTTTCCCTGGGTGCAGCCAAATGCTCCAGGCAGAGGCAAAGAGCTAGCGGTGAGCCTGGGCTTGTCCTCATCTCCCATCCCGGTCTCTATGAAAAAGAAGAAAGTGTGGCTAGCGAGGAGGGTGGCCTCGATGAGCTGTTCTCTGGGAATAAAGCCCCAGTGTCCTCCCATCGGAGTGTGTGGCAGGCCCGGGGGCCTTGCTCCCTGTCTGCTTCAAGAAGGAGATGTGGAAAGGACAGCTGTGAGTGAATGCCCAAGGTCATCCTTGGAAAAATCCTGGTCCTAGCAGAGAAACCATGGTGCATACATAGGTGTTTGTCTAATCAAACTGGCTCAGGTGAGGGGTTCAGCGGATAAAGACACTTGCAGCTAAGCCTAACAATTCACACACACACGCACACACACATCAATAAATATAAAAATAAAATAAATAAATGTGTCTTTTTAACCAAGCTCCCCTATGAACGATAAAGACTAACAGACAAATCAGCAGACTTTAGGAAAGAAAACCTAAAAGCAAGAGAGACCGAAATAAGCAAAAAGAACTAATCTTAGAAAAAATAATAGGACGAAGGAAAAACAAATAGAAATGGGGAGAACTTTTAAAAACGTACACATTAACATAGAAATATCCTAGAAGACACAGCATCCATAAGAAGAGCAACTCACTTAAAAAACAAATAAACAGAAAGAGGAGGGAACAAGAAGCAACTGGTAACCACGAGCGTCATTTAAAACAAACTAAAGGTCTGGACAGGTGGCTCAGTGGGCAGAGCGCTTGTCTAGCATGCACACATGAAGCCTGGGCTTGACCAACAGCAGCACATAAACCAAAACTGATGTTGCACATCTGTAATCCCAGCACTGTGGAGGTAGACACAGAAGGATCAGAAGTTCAAGGTCACTCTCAGCTACATACGGTGTTCAAGGCCAGCCTGTGCTGTATGAGACTCTCTCTCTCTCTCTCTCTCTCTCTCTCTCTCTCTCTCTCTCTCTCCCTCACTCTCTCTCTCCCTCACTCCTTCTCTTTCTCTCTGTCTCTCTCTCTCACACACTCACACACAGAGAGAGATATACAGAGAGATACAAAGAGATACAGAGACAGAGAGAGACAGAGAAACAGAGGAGTGGGGACAGATACCTTTGGTTAAAATAAGAAAGGAAAAGTCAAGCGAAGCTTCCAAATGACCATGAGGTAACCACCATCCTGTTGTTGACTCGGCTGGGTTGATACCAGCAAAGGTTTAACACCCCACCTCTTGTTGTAAGAAAGTAGAAGGAAAACCAAGCAAGGGCTGGAAACGTAGTTCCATCGTAGAAGCCTGGCCTAGCATGTGAAGGCTCTGTGTTCAAGCCCCTGGACAGCAAAATAATAATAATAATAATAATAATAATAATAATAATAATAATGAGGAGGAGGAGGAGGAGGAGGAAAAGGAGGAGAAGGAGAAGAAAGAAGAGGAGGAGAAGGAGAACAACAACAATATTGTTTATAGTGTCCTATTAGTTGTCGCTTAGAATATCTACTAGATTTAGGAATTAAAATGGGGCCGGGGCCCTCTCATCCCTATCTCTCCAGAGTTATTATTGCCTTTCTGCGGCTGCAGCCTCTGTGCTTGCCCGAGCCCCTCCCCCCACCCCACCTCCGTTCCCCAGGGACTCTGTCTCTTGGTGCAGACCCAGGGGCCCCTTAGGTCTTAACCACTGACCCTCCCAGCCTTCCTTTCTAACCGCTCTCCATTCCTTTGTGTCAGCTGCCAGCAGGCAGAAACATTTTGTACCAAGGATCCCGCAGTGGCCACCACCCCGGGCTGGAACACAGGAAGGTAATTTTCACTGTCCCTCCTGTCCTCCATTACAGTCTCTCCAGAATTACTGTTAATTTCGCAGTCGCCTGACAACAGGAGCAGGTCTTCCCACCACACCTTCACCCCCTGGGAACTCCACCTCTCCATGTGGGCCCCAGTGTCCCTAACTCTGACTTTCCACTGGAGACTCTGGAAGCCAGAAGGACCTGGACAGATGTCCTACAAACTCTGAGAGACCACAGATGGCATCCCAGACTACTAAGCCCAGCAAAATCATCAATCACAATTGACTAAGAAAGAAAAATATTTCAAGATTACATACAGTTTTAAGCAATTTCTATATACTAATCTAGAGCTATAGAAGGCACTAGAAAAAAAAAAGTAGTCAAAGACAAGGTTATCCAGGAAGACACAAGGAATAAATAATCCCAAAAATGTTCATTATAGGAAACACACAGCAAAAACAACAAAATAAAAGGAATTAGTAAGCACTGCTCATTGATAACTCAATATTAATGGTCTCAATTCACCAATAAAAATGGATTGGATTAGAAAAAACAAGATCTATATTTCTGCTGCATCCAAGAAACAATCTCAACATCAAGGATAGACATTACCTCAGGGGGAAAGTATTCTAAGCAAATGGGCCTGAGAAGCAAGTAGTTGTAGCCATTTTAATATCTGACAAAACAGACTTCAAACCAAAACTTACCAGAAGAGTTAGGGAAGGGTGCTCCATACTCATCAAAGGAAAAAAATCTACCAGGAGGAAACTGCAATTCTAAACATTTAAGCATCAAACCCAAGGGCTCCCAAGTTTATAAAGAAACACTATTACAGTTACAATCACATATTGACCCTCACACAGCGATCCTGGGTGACTTCAGTACCCCACACTTGACAACCGACAGGTCATCCTGACAAAAACTAAACAGTGTAGTAACATCATAAATAAACGAACCTAGCAGATATCTACAGGACATTTCACCCAAACACTTGAAGAATGTACTTTCTTACCAGCACTCATAGAACTTCCTCCAAAACCAACCAGATACTTGGACACAAAGCAAGTCTCATTGGATACAAGATAACGGAAATAACACCCTACAGCCTATCTGACCCCCACAGATTAAAGCTGGATATCAACAACAACAAAAACAGCAGAAAGTATACAAAGTCATGGAAACTGAACAACTCACTACTGTGAAAACTGGGTCAAGACAGAAACTGGATGAAAGAACAACACACCCGAACCTATGGGACACAAGGGAAATTCTAAGAGGCAAGTTCATAGACTAAGTTCCTACACAAAAAAACAAACAAGCAAGCTGGGCGGTGGTGGCACTCGCCTTTAATCCCAGCACTCAGGAGGCAGAGGCAGGCAGATCTCTGTGAGTTCGAGGCCAGCCTGGTCTACAGACCAAGATCCAGGACAGGCACCAAAACTACACAGAAAAACCCTGTCTTGAAGAGAAAAAAAAAAAAGCCAACCCACCAAAAAACCCGGAGATACCTCATATTATTAACTTAGTGGTACACCGGAAAGCTCTAGAACAACCAGGGGAAAAAAATACACAAAAAGAGGAAATGGCAAGAAATAAACTCAGGACTAAAATCAAAGAAAATAAAAACAATCAAACAAACAAAAAAAATACAAAGAATCAATGAAATGGAGAGTTGGTTCTTTGAGAAAATCAACAATATTGGCAAACTCTTAGCCAAACTAACTAAAAGACACAGAGAGAAGATCCAAATTAATGAAAGTAGAGATGAAAATAGAGGCATTACAACAGACACAAAGGAAATTCAGAGAATCATAAGGATGTACTTTAAAAATCTGTACTCGCCGGGCGGTGGTGGCGCACGCCTTTAATCCCAGCACTCGGGAGGCAGAGGCAGGCGGATCTCTGTGAGTTCGAGGCCAGCCTGGGCTACCAAGTGAG